ACTGGGGCTTGAACTCATGGCCTTAAACTTTCTCAGCTTTTCTAGGCAGGTGGTATATCATTTGAGCCACTCCACCAGTCCTGTTTTGCATTGGGTTTTTCGAGATAGGGTCTCACGTACTATATACCTCGGGCTAGCTTTGAACCATGATCTTCCTGATTGCTGCCTCCTGTGTAGCTATGATTACAGACATGAACTACTGGTGCCCAGCTCTTTTTTAAATTTTTTTAAGTATTAAAAGATACGAAATGCATTCACAGCTTGCAAGCTGTACAAAACCAAATGGTAAGCTCGGTGTGCACTGGGGGCTCTCATCTGATGAATTTCAGCTTTTAACACTCAGGTCATCTGCCCTGGTCCTGCCTCAGTGATCTTCCTAGGAAAGAAGCTGTGACCACACTTCACCTAGAACCTTCCAAACAGGGTGGTGACAAAAAATGTCTCCCTCGAGGATCACTGACCCAGGAGTTGAGTCTGTGCACCCTGCACAGCCACACAGGCACTCTGCTCCCTGCTTCACTCTGCCTCTCCTCCACACTAAGCGGCCTACAGTTTCCCAGCCCACCCAGCTTGTCACACGCCTGCTCATATGATCCTTCCTGGAAAACTCTTCTCCTCCAGTCCACTAATGCCATACACCTCTCAGTGCTCAGCGTATCCTCCTCTATGTCTCTCTGTAGCCCAGGAGAAATGACTTTTCCTTCCCTGGTGCCTCAAGGCCACCAGTACATATTTCTGTCCAAGCAGAAGAGTCGTTGTTTTCATGTGTCTCCTGTCTTAGTCTGTAAGCCCCGGGAGAGTCCACCTTAGGCCTCTATATAACATCAGCACTGGTTGAATAAATAAATGTGGCCTGGTGTGGTGACTCACACCTGTAATCCCAGCTACTTGGGAGGAGGAGATAGGAGAATCAAGGTCTGGGGCTAGCCTGGGCAAAAGTAGTATGAGACACTGAAAAGCAAAAGGTCCATAGGCCTGGCTCACGTGGTAGAGGATAAGCATGAGGCCCTGAGTTCAAGTCCTAGTACCACAAAAATAAATAAACGAATGGGTAAACTGAGGCTCTGAAAGTCATTTTCCAAGAAGGTGAAGCCCAAGATTGAGAATTCGATGGAGCAGGACCAACAAGGAAGTCTCCTGACCCCAAATCTCTATCATCACTCTGCCATTCATATCCTAGGCCTCAGCTCTTTGTGTCAGTGTCTGAAAATTTTACAAATAAGAAGAAAATTTTACAAATAAAAAGCAATCATGTCCGGGAGAAAGACAAGCTGGGGGGAACATTGCTGTAGACACGGGTTGCTGTGTCCTACGCACGTCCATCTATTAAAACTCTGGAATTTGCTAGGTGGGCGGTGGGTAGGGGTAGACTGCCTTTCAGGGAATGACAGGCACCACACAAGCCAATGTCAGGGTGACCTAAAGAAATAGGACAGAGGCTGTCACCAGAGGCTGCTGAACCAAGGCTGGGAGCAGGGCAACAAATGCAAGATGCACTCAGATCCCCAACAAACCCTGATCCTACACACCACGGAGGATTCTCCAGCTGCCTTGAGGAGAGGAAAATGACTATAATTAACTCCTGCTGGAGAATAATATTATGACACTTGATTTTTGCAGCAGGGCTTAGAGTTCCTTCACACCACCAGCAGCCACATGGCTGCAGGAGCACATGCCACCTGAGATTTAAGCGTTCAGAGGGAGTTTCAGAAAAACACTGGCGCAACTGAGACGTCAAGCAGCTGCTTTTTATTTCAGGCATGGGGGTCACTGAGAGGATTACAAAAACCAAAAAAGCAAATTGGCCTCGAGAAGGCGTGGGATGGTCCTGCTTTGCTTCTATGGGGGTAGGGATGGCGGTGGGGTGGGCAGTGCCCCAGGCAAAGGACATGTGGCAGTCTTATTCTGCCTGACACCCGGCCTGGACAGGATGGGAATAGCATTCCACCATCTGGACCTCATTCTGGAAGCTTCCTCTGCCCACTTCTCTGAATCTGGACACTTAGCATCTTCCTGCACTTCCTTCAAGCCACAAAACTCACCATCAATCTGTGCCCCCTGGCAGGGAGCTGAGAAGATCGAGGTTGTCCCAGCCTTTCCCCAGATCCCATGAGAGCATGCAGGAGGAGAGTCCTGAGTAGGGCACACTGATGCCTGGCACCCAAAATGCAGGCTGCCATCATCACCCCAGTCACCCATTTTACAGGGGAGGAGCCTGAGGTCAGGCACAGAAGCAACCTGTGCAGGAGAGACACCACCCAAATGTAACTGAACAGGCCCCAAACTCTGCTGTCTCCCAAATGTCCAGAATTGGAGGATGGGTCCCCTAAAAGCTTGGATTGTTTTCCCATGGTACAATACTATGTAGCCGTTGCAGGCACCCTCAAAGGGCTGAGAGGTGCAGTCTTTGAGATGCCTTGCTAAGCAAACAAAAGCAAAGTGCAGAACAGCAACTCCATGGCCAATCGTGTTAGTCTGGTTTCCGTCACATGACAAAACACCTGGGGGAATCAGTTTACAAGGAGAAAAGGTTTATTTTGGCTCACAGTGTTGGAGGTTCCAGTTCATGACTGATTGGCCCCCTTGCTTTTGGGCCTGTGGTGAGCAGAGCGCATGTTGAAGCAAAACTGCTCACCTCATGACTGGGAAGCAAAAAAAGAGGAGGAAGAGAGGGGGTCTCACAGCCTTCTTTGGGGGCATGTTTCCAATGACATAAAGACCTTCCACTAATCCCAACTCTTCCCAAGTCCCAACTCTTAAAAGTTCTACCACTCCCCAAGAGCACACACCTGAGCCTTTGGGGGCCATTCAAGATCCAAACCATAGCCATAAAGATTGGGGTAAGTGCATAGATTTGCTGGGATGCTGTTGTGGGTTGAACTGTATCCCCCCTAAATATATGATTAAGTCCTAACTCTGGTACCTGGGAATGTTACCTTATTAGCAAATAGGGCCTTTACAGATGAAGTAAATTGAGGATCTTGAAATGAGAACATCCTGGATTTAGGGTGTACCCTAAATCCAATAACAAATATCTTTAGAAGAAAAAGGAGAGGAAAGTTGGGCATAGTGGTACAGGCCTGTAATTTCAACACTTGGAAGACTGAGGCAGGAAGATCACAAGTTCAAGTCCAGTCTGAGGTACATAGCAAAAAAAATTCAGTTAAATTTAAAAAGAAAAAAATGGCAAGAGTTGGGGATGCATCTCAGTGGCAGAGCTCTTACCTAGCATGCACGAGGCCCTGGGTTCAATCCCCAGCACTGAGGGGTGGATTAGAGAATGATTTGTAAACAGAGAAAGAGACTGGGATACTCTGCCACAAGCCAAGGAACTCCCGGGCTACCAGAAGCTGGGAGAAACAAGAAAGGATCTTCCCCTAGTCTTCAGAGCAGCGCGACCCTGCCCAGATCTTGTTTTGGGACTTCTGGCCTCCAGAACTGCGTGAAAAGAAAATGTTTGTTGTTTGAAGCCACCAAGTTTGTGGCAATTGGTTGTGACTGTCTCAAGAAGCTAACACGGATGCTAGCATAGTTTTGGAAGTCAATTTAGATTTTGCTACACATAGATAAGTATTTTTTAAAAATCAATAGTCAATAGTACTTACATATGCCAGTAACAAATTTAAAATTTTAAACTATACTCTTTATAATAGGATCAAATCAGAGAGAGTTTTCAGAAAAACATTCATAGGAATGAAAATCCTAAATACTTAGGAATAAATACAGTGGATAAGCAACACCCCCTACATGGAAAAATAGAAATATTGTTAAGAGAAATTAAGAAGGTCCAAGTAAATGAAACAGCATGCATCAGGTATATAGACTGTAAGTTTCAAATGTGATTTCTTTTTCGGCAGCACTGGGATTTGAAACTGAGGGCCTCACACTTGCTAGGTAGAGTGCTCTTACCATTTGAAGCCACTCTGCCAGCTGATC